ATGGGAGTAACCATCCCCCCTCCTGCACCACCGGTGCCTCGGCCCAGGAATGTCCCGGCTCCCGTCGCACCTGTTCCCATACCTAAGGGAAAGGGGAAGGGGAAAGGGAAATCTTCCCAAGCCCCAGCCCCTCCCCCTCCTAGTACCATTCCGTCTGTCTCGGTAGTGGAGGCAGCGCCGTCAGCGACCACGCTGATGGCACAAGCCAACCCGCCGCGACAGACCAAAACGTCCAACCCCACTCCTCGTGGCCGAGCCCAAATTATAGCTGTCACCACAGCCCACGACACTCGCCAGACAGTCGGCTCAGCCCCTAAATCTACAAAAAATAAAAATAAAAATAAAAAAAAGAAGGAGAGGAAGAAACTCTTAAAGAAAATAGCGAGAGAGAGCAGCGCCAGAAACATGGAAGTGGACCAACAACCTCATGAGGCCATGGAAGCCAACGTAACTGCCGACACTAACCCTCCACAACTGGAGGGACAAACCTTGCCTCAAGCTCAACCTGAGCCGTTGGGCAATACTCTGCCCCCTCTTCCCCCCCGCCCTCAGCGCGAGCAGCGCAGCGGTCGGCAGGCCTCAGAGCCTGCCGGCTTTGCTGCGTGGCTCCTCGCGCTCTGGGAAAAATTGTCCGAGGTGGTCTCCGGAGTGATCCGCGAGATCGCCTTGGGAGCCAGCCCTTTCGGGGCTCTCTTGTCGGGGTTCTACCGAATGATTGCGCAGTTCAATGGCTAGCCAGGAACTGCGCATCATTTATCGGAACCCCGGCGGGGTAAAAACCCGCAAGAACAATCTCTTGGTTCTCGCCCGGGAGTACAACCCTGAGGTTGTGCTCCTGGGCGAGACCAAGCTACGTCCTCGGGATGTGTTCAGGATTCCAAACTACTTCATGTACCGACGTGATGAGGTGAGTCCTGCCGGGCTACGTTCAGGGGCACTGCGGCACTCGTCAGGCGAGACGTGGTGCATGATCAGTTGGACTTGCTGGCCTTCACATCGACAAGGTCGATCGGTGTGAGGATCCACAACTCGGGGGGAGATATGCGGGTTTATGCTGCGTATAGACCCCCGGGGCCTGATTTCCACCCCGGGGACATAAGACGGGTCCTGAATTATGACAGCCGCCCAGCTCTGCTGGTCGGGGACCTCAACGCGAAGCACCTCGCGTGGGGCTCCCGACTTAACTCAGCAGTGGGCAGGCGGCTGTTAGAAGATGCCGATAGGGGCGACTAATCTGTGGTCGGCCCCGACGAACCCACGCACATTCCGACCGCCGCGCAGCTCCAGCCCGACGTGCTGGATGTGTGCGTTCATAAGGGGCTACGGTGCCCCTTAACTATTGAGGCACTGTACGACCTGGGTACCCCCCATCTCCCTATCCTGGTCACACTGGGAATGGGGCTTACCCGGGTTGCGACCTCACCCCTACGATCGAAGGTCGACTGGGAGCTCTTTAAGAGACGCCTAGTCGACCTTCCCGTAATTCAGGACCCCAACACCCCTGAGGGGGTCGACGACGCGGTAGTCCGCCTTGTCGACTCCATCAGGGGAGCGATCGACCAGGCGACGACTCTTGTGCCCAGCGGCGGGCCCAGAGGTATACTCCCAGCCCATCTGAAAGCGATTATTCGCCGGAAGAGGGACCTGAGGAGGCTCTGGGCGACAACTCGTTGTCCCAGGATCAAGCGCGAGCTTAATGAGCTGGAAGCGGAGTTGGCGGCGAAGATTAGCTCCTATCGGGGCTATGCGTGGGAGGAACGGATCGAGGAGGCCCGTGAGGACCCCTCGTCCGTGTCCCTCCACCGACTTTGCCGCCAGCTCTCAAATCGACCTGCCCCGACTTGTCCACTCGTGGACGAGAGGGGCAACCGATGCTTCTCGGCTCAGGCCCGCGCCGATGTCCTGGCCGTAATGCTGGAGCGGCAGTTCGCTCCAAATGACTCTGCACCCTCAGAGGCCGCATTCCACCAATCGGTGGAAGAGAGCGTAGCAAGCCTACTCTCCTCCCCGGTGCCACCGTTGGGAGATGGTGATTTCATCACTCCCAGTGAATTGCGCCTCTCCATCAAGCGGATGAAGAGGCGCAAGGCGCCGGGCGAGGACGGTATTCCCTCCCTCGCATTTTTCCACTTCCCCGAAACGGTCGTGTCATTCATGACACGACTGTTCAATTCCATTCTGTCCACAGGACACTTCCCGGGAACTTGGAAATTGGGCAAGGTTATTGCCCTGCCCAAACCCGGCAAGGATAGGAGAAATCCCTCCAGTTATCGTCCGATCACTCTGCTGTCGCATATGGGCAAGTTGTTCGAGCGGCTGCTGCTGAGAAGGGTGTCGCCGCACATCCTTCTCAGACCCGAGCAATTCGGGTTTCGCAGCGGTCACTCGACAACGCTGCAATTGGTCCGCGTTATGCACCACTTGGCGGATCGGTCCAACGCGCGCCAGTACACGGCCGCAGTCTTTCTCGATATCGAGAAGGCCTTCGACCGTGTCTGGCATGCGGGACTGATCTACAAGCTGTTGCAGAACACGGACCTCCAGCACGCCTATGTGCGACTGCTGGGGTCGTACCTGGAGGGAAGATCCTTCCTTGTCGCGGTCGAGGGCGCAAAGTCGTCGGTGCGCCCAGTCACGGCCGGAGTTCCCCAGGGAAGCGTCCTGGCACCAGTCCTCTACGCTCTCTACACCAACGACATTCCCACGCTTGAGGGCAACCTCCAAGCGTGGGAAGCCGACGTGAAGTTGGCGCTGTTTGCCGACGACAGCGCCTACTTCTCGTCCTCTAATTTCCCCTCTGCGGCCATTTCGAGGATGCAGAGGCTGTTGGACCTACTGCCCCAGTGGCTGGACCGATGGAGGGTCGCGGTCAACGTGGGGAAGACCGCGGCTATCCTCTTCGGTCCGGTCCGCACAAGAGCCGTCCCAGGACAGCTCAGTCTCCGTGGAGTCAATGTCGAGTTTAGGCCCAGTGTCCGATACCTGGGAGTCATATCGACCGGAGTTTGAGGATGACCGCCCACGCCAAGTCGGCGTTGGCGGCCGCCCGCTAGC